GTTTTTTTAATGGGTGTTTTTGCTTTTTTTTTTTTTTTTTTTTTTAAGGAATCCAGTTTTTAAAATTTGTGCTTTCTGTATCTTTTATGAGAAATCTTTGCCTACATGAATATTATGAAAATGCTCTGTTTTCTTCTAGTAGCTTTATTATTTTGCCTTTTACATTTAGCTCTGTGAAATATCTCAGATTTTTATGTATGGGGAGAATAACAGTTCTTTTCCAGATTGCTGTCTAGTTGTTTCTGAATCATATGTTGAAGAGATTTTCCTTTCTAGCCATTTTGTTTTTGTTTTTGTTTTTTCCTATACATATGCTTTGATTTACTTACTGGTATAAGGATTCAGAAAAGCCATACTTATTTTTGCAATCTGCTGTGAAACAGACGTAACCCACCAAAACATAAATAATTAGTGACCATCACATCATTCACTTTATATCTAAGGACTACTTAACATGACTGTGTCTGTTATAGGGTTCATACTTTGCTTCTTTTTATTTTTTTTATTTTTTTTAAAATTTTTTATTGTTGGTTGTTCAAAACATTACATAGTTCTTGATATATCATATTTCACACTTTGATTCAAGTGGGTTATGAACTCCCATTTTTACCCCATATACAGATTGCAGAATCACATCAGTTACACATGAGACTGTTCTTGCTCAGTTGCTGAGGCTGGCCTCATACTTGTGATCCTCTTGCTTCAGTCTCATGAGTGAGTTGAATTGCAAGCGTGTGACTCCAGATCGTTACATTCTTACGTCAAGTTAAGAATCATCAGGTCAACCATTTGTCAGCTTTTCATTGCTGTGACAAAATACCTAAAAAAAAAAAAAGCAACTTTAAAGGAGGAAAAATTTATTGTGGCTCATGGTTTCAGTCTGCGGTCATTTGGCCCCATCTCTCTGGGCCTGTTTTGAGGCAGTGCATCATGGTAAAGGAGTGGTAAAGCATTGCTGCTCACCTCATGGCATCCAAGACCAGGGAGAGAGAGCAAGAGAGGAGCTAAAGACAAGCCCAAACTTAATGAAAAGCCCTCTCCAAAAGTTTCCACAACCTCCCAATAGTGCCACCAACTGGGGAATCAAAGCATTAAAGACATATGAGCTTTTGCGGGGCGTTTAAAAAATCAATTTTAAATCATAGATGAAATACATGAATAGATACTCCATTTAGAAGAATATTTCAGACAAGCCTACATTCTCTATTGGCTATGTCTCTCTTTACCAGTCTTTATGCCAGTGATAAGGATTATTATCAGTTTGGAGGGTATCTTTCAAGACCTTTTTCTAGTCATATACACTTTAGAGCATGTATTCACACATTCTTTTTTTTTTAAAATTTTTTTAAAGAGAGAGAATTTTAATATTTATTTTTTTAGTTTTCGGCGGATACAACATCTTTCTTTTGTATGTGGTGCTGAGGATCCAACCCGTGCTGCACGCATGCCAGGCAAGTGCGCTACCGCTTGAGCCACATCCCCAGCCCCAACACATTCTTATTTATCTGCAGATTAGAAGATTAGAAGGTGAGAAGCCACTTCTGTTACCTAAGGGACATCAAATTGTACTTATCATTCTAACATACTTTTTAAAAAGTCAGTGGTTTATTTTGTGGGCCTTTTGTGTCATTATATGTAGACTTTTACCTTATTCACAGCCCCACAATATTTCAAACTATGGGTATAATATTTTCATTTAGCTCATTCCCTAATTGATGAACCTTTTAAAGCATTTTAGTTTTCTCATGTGTACATATTGTGGTAACTATTCTCCTTGCCTTTGCACACAGTGCTAGTGTTTCTGTAATGTAAATGCCAAGAAGTAAATTCCAACAAGATTTTTAATTGATACTATTGATGCTTTCCAAGACTGTATAGCCATTTCTTTAGTGTTATCCATCCCTGCCTCCTCCACTTAATTTTAGATGGTTTTAAAAGTAAACTTTGCATTTTTTTGTGATTAGTTTTGGAACCAAGCAATTTTTCTTATTTATTTTGTGGTGGTGCTGGGGATTGGACCTAGGGTTTTACACATGCTAGGCAAGCAAGTGCTTTACCACTGTGATACATCCCCACGCCTGACCTCCATCTTTAACCTGTTCAGTTCATATTCCCAGAATTCAGCTTAGTTATCCAACAAATATTCAAACTGAATTTTTTTTTCCTCTCCAAACTTACATTTCTACAAGTAATTCACGGGTCACAAACTTAATTACGTTTCACATATTTTTAAATTCTCTCTAAGAATTAGGAAATTTTAATTCTTAATGTTGATTTAGTCTTTTCTCTGTTAGTGACAGTGAACCTTTCCCTCCCTTCTTAATCTCTGTTGTATAAATGGTAAAACTGATTTACTATATTAAGTCTGTAGAGAAACTGTTGCTACCCAAAGGGCTTCTAAGATGACTGCATGGTTGCTTAGCTACTGCTAGTTAAATAAACATTTTAGATGTTTTACTCTGGAAATTGTCCAGATAGAAAAGTTGAAACTTGAAATTCTTGTACTTCAAGTCTTTCTAGAATTTTTTTCTTTTTAAAAGAAGGATTACAAAGTACTGTAAAAAGAAGAAAATGACATTGATGAATATTTTAATTGCCTATTATTATAACATGGCATAATACTATTTTTAAAGCTTAGAGAACTACCTAAGGATTTATATCAGCAGCTCTCAAGAGAAGTAGAAAATAAGTTTAACTGGAGCCAGCATTAAGAACAATAATTCTGTAGAAGAGCTGTTATTTAAATAAGATACTGTCTGTAAAGCATTTATTGCAATCTTTACCAATTATTAAAGACCCACAATTTGTTGGTTAAAATATAATATGCCAGTTTTGCCCTTTTTCTCTGTTTTAGCTCACATTAAAACTAGTGCTTTAAATGTGTTCCTGTTTAGAGTGTTCAAGGCTAAGGTAGGTTTGATTGGGGGGTTAAGGTCTTACAATGTAGTCAAAGCTGGCCTCAGACTCCTGGGTTCAAGTGATTCTTCTGCCTCAACCCCCCTAGTAACTAGTACTACAGACATATGCTCCCACCATCAGCTCAAGAGATTTGATTTCTACCACTATGTCACTATGGGAGCAAATCACTCAAGCTTTCTGAACATCGTCTTTCCTAAACTGAGGGATTTGATTGGATATCTCCCAAGTTCTTATACTAAAATGTCATGTTTCATTTTCTTGATTCCTTAAGGCTAGAATTAAAATATTGCTCAGTAAGTTCTTAGAATATGTGTGTGTACATGCGTGCATGTGCTAGGGATCAAACCCAGGGCCTTATGGCATTCTAGGTAAGCACTCTGCCACTGAGCCACAAACCCAGCTCCAGGATATACTATTTTCCTATTGGTGACAAATAATATTTGTATAAAAAAGACCCTTTCAAGAAATGCTGTCATGTTGTTAAAATACAAATTATTGGGCTGCGGGTATAGCTCAGTGGTAAGGTACTTTTCTAATATGTGTGGGGCCCTGGGTTCACTTCCCAGTACCACATACACACAAAGTATAAATTACTTGAAGGGCGGGTGCTGGGATACCGACCTTTTTTTTTTTTTTTTTTAGGAATCTGTTATTTTGGGAAATATTAAGATTTTTCAAATTATATATATTTTGGAGGGGGTGGGTACTGGGGATTGAACTCCGGGGCCCTCAACCACTGAGCCACATCCCCAGCCGTAATTTGTATTTTATTTAGAGACAGAGTCTCACTGAGTTGCTTAGTGCCTCAGCCTCCCTAGCCGCTGGGATTACAAGCATGCGCCACCATGACCAGCTTCAAACTGTATATTTTTACCATTTTGTTGTTAAATTTCAGATCTTAGGTAGCCTATATACAGAAAGAATGGAAGACTAAGATTATGTAGATGTACACACTTAATATAAGTAGAAGACACGTCTTTTTTTTAATATATATTTTTTTAGTTATAGTGTGACACAATACCTTTATTCCATTCGTTCATTTTTACGTGTGTTGAGGATCAAACCCAGGGCCACGCATGTGCTAGGCGAATGCTCTACCACTGAGTGACAGCCCCAGACCCCAAGTCTTGTCTTTTTAAATTTTTGTGGAAGCTTCTTCCTATTGGGTATATCATGTTTTCATTCTTTGAAACCAATATTTGCTTACTGTCTACCACTATATAGTAAATACAGGATACAGAGCTTCTGGTATCCTTACCGTGTTGAGTAAGGAGTCATTGCCTGGCTGGCACATGGACATGTAAGAAAGCACAAGGTTCAGTATCCAGGGTATTTATTGAGTTCCCAATATGTAGACATGATTGATGGAATCATGACCAAAAAGGCTGAACTCAATCCTCAGCCCCCTCCATCTGAAGTCTTTTTCCAAGGTCCTCAAATTCCTCCAGCCTGAGTCCTCTACTTAGCTTACAATATCTAGAAGCCTTCCAGTCAATTGGTTAGCATAAAGTAGGTGAATAATGAATAACAAAGACACTGTTATCATTAGGGAAATTTTAAGGGTTTAGAGGCTACTTTCCAGAAAGGAGGGACAATGGCCTGCCAAATCCTTCTGTTCCACAATAGACCCATAGTTTTCTTTAGATTATTGGCTGAGACCTTTACTCAAAAAAAAAAAAAAAATAATAATAATAATAATAAAGAAACACTGCCTTATCTCAGTGTAGCATTTTTCTTTATCATTATGATGCATGTTTGAATTTTCATATGCTGTACTTTTTTGCATGTGTATTAACTCAACATGGCACATACTTTACAACCTCCCCTTAGTACCACCAACCCCCAATTTAGAATGGTTACTTATTATACTTCTATTTTAAATAATCCTCCTACAATTCAGAATCCCCATCTGATCAATTCACAAAACATTTTGATATCCTTTACTTGGTTGATAGAAGTGTATGTTGGAGTTATGACCCCCATGCATAAGAAGGAGAGTCCTTATACTGTTAACACCAAGAATGTGTTAAATAACAGTGAGCAAAAACATTAATCTTATTGTGGTGTTGTTAAATTTTCAGGAAACTACTCACGTTCCTGTGGAACCAAACTAGAATTTATAAGAACATAATGGGTAAGTTATGTAAAGATAATTTTGTGTTTCAATTAGTAGAAGCTATTTTTTCTTCTCAAAGACAGACCTTCAGAGTCATTGAATGAAAGTAAGAAAATGGTTAGAGTAAACTGAAATTAGTTGTTTAAGTTAAGACTTGTGTTTATTGTACGTTCCTGAAAGGCACATCAGTAACAATATTGTGCCAGATCAAATTGGTAAAATGCAGTGAGTAATTGTACCTTAAGAAATTTGAGGGCTCATGGGGTTGTGGCGTGGCTCAGTGGTGGAGCGCTCATCTAGCATTTGCGAGGCCCTGGGTTCGATCCTCAGCACCACATAAAGACAAATAAATAAAATAAAGGTATTTAAAAAGAAAAAAAAAGAAATTTGAGGGCTCAGGAAGTAGTTCAGTGGTAGAATGTTTACCTGGCATGTGTGAAGCCCTGGGTTGAAAACCCAGCACTGCAAAAAAAACAAAAAAGGAAAAGGAAAAGAAATTTGAAACTTCCCCAATAAATATAAAATGGTTTAACTTGGGGGTGGGAATTAGAAACATAAATTGAAATAACTGATAGCTTTTTAGTTTTGTTCTTAGACATTGACAATAACTGTTAAAATTCTGTATGCTTGAATAGTCTTATCATTTAGAAGTTATTTACATCTTTATAAGTTCCCCAGACTTTATTACGAAAAATTAATTACACTATCATAGCTTTCATTGGATACTTAATCTTTTGTCTCAATTTGCTTTCTCTGCATGTTTGTTTGTGTTTTTCTGTACTCATTTAAGACTTATAGAATAACACTTCACATCTAAACACTTAAGCATTTATCTCCTAATTTAGTCCATATTCGGAATTTCCCAACAGTTTTAGTAGTATTCTTCACAGCAGGTTTGCTTATTTTAATCTATTAATCCAGTCAGGGATCACTTATTGCATTAACTTGTCTCTCTCGTTCTTTTAAACAATTCCCTACTTTTTGAGGGGTGGGGAGAAGGACTTTTCATGACTGTTTTGAAGAGTAGGCCAATAGTTTAAAGACTATTTTTCAATTTTAAATTTGTCTGTTTCCTTGTGATTATATTCAGAGTAAATATTTTTTGCAGTAATAGGTGATTTTAATATTTATTAATCTTAGTTTTAGGGCTTTCTGAGTTAACTATTAACAAATCGGTAAGTGGATTTTTTAAAGATTTTTTTTAAGATTTTTTAAAAATTGTAGATGGACACAATACCTTTATTTTATTTATTTTTATATGGTGTTGGGGATTGAACCCAGTGCCTCACACATGCTAGGCAAGCGCTCTATCACTGAGCCACAACCCTAGCCCTCCTATATTTTTAAAGTAAGCTTTAAGATACTTTGGTATGTTAGTAACCATAAAAGATAAAGTTCTGGGATAGTACAGAATTGTAAAAGGTATGTATGTGAGAAAAGATCTTAAGGGGATGTACCAAAAATATGTATATATGTACCACAAAAAAAGTTAAATTGAGTGGACTACCGTGGCTGAAACCAGTGCAGTAGCAATGGGGATAACTGGTAGTATGCATTCTCTGTTTTCATCTCTACTTCGAATGTTTTTTCTTTTCTTTTCTTTTTGCTGTGTATGGGACCAAACCCAGGGCTTTTGAGCATGGAAGGTAGGCACTTTATCACTGAGCTACAGCACCCAGTTCCCTCTACTTTGAATTTTTAAAGACTGATTCTGTCTAAATTCATTATGTTAAAACCATGCAATAATTTAAATTGGTCAGTAAATGTCTTTAAGATTGTTTGTATGGGGACAGGGGTTGTTGCTCAGTGGTAGAGCACTTGCCTCACATGTGTGACGCCCTGGGTTCAATCCTCAGGACCACATATAAATAAACAAATAAAATAAAAGTATTGTGTCCATCTACAACTAAAAATATTAAAAAAAAAAAAAAAGATTGCTTTTATGTATCAGGAATAAAATGCCAAGTAAAAGAAGGCTTAACTTATAGAATTTGGGACTTGGCGTATAAACACTATACATCTTATTTCTAGAAAAGTATATCAGGAAATAGGGTTAAGTCATTTATTTAATATTTTATCTTTATCTTCGCATTTGATTGTGCTGCTTTGGCAACCAAAAAAAATTTTTTTTGTCAGTACCTCCTTGAAAAAGATTGGTAAGTTTTCATCTAATATATCCTTTGATCTAGAGTTTATGCTGACAGTGAAAAATATTTAGAGAATGATAAAACAAGGTGTTAAAAACTTTAAAGTTGGAGCTGAGGGTGTGGTTTAGTAGTAGAGTGCCTACCTAGTATGAGCAAGGCCCTGGGTTCAATCCCCAGCACTGAAAAAAAGGAAAAAAACTTTGAAGTCTCAGTGGCTGTTACCTTCCAGAAATGTTTATTGTCTTGAATTTCTCAAATATTAGCCTTAGTAAAACTGTTTGGTTTTAGTATACTAGTGTGATTCAAGAATCATTTCAATTAAGTTTAAAAAAATAATCATTTTACTACCAACTTTAGATGGAGAAGAGAAAACCTATGGTGGCTGTGAAGGCCCTGATGCCATGTATGTCAAATTGATATCTTCTGATGGTCATGAATTTATTGTAAAAAGAGAACATGCACTAACATCAGGAACAATAAAAGCCATGTTGAGTGGCCCAGGTAAGTAGTTCTTTTCCTTAATGTTTGATAAATGTATTTTTTTAAGTTTAATCAAATGAGTCCTATTTAAAGAAAAAGTCTTCTGATGTTATTTCCTGGTTGTGTTGTACTGGGAAAAAAATTAGTGTGTGCCATTTTCTATTTTCATTTATTTACCCTATAAATTTCAACAAAAACAGATTGATTACATGGTAATAGGAAGGTTTGGTTTTTTTTACATTTAGTTTCCATTGTCATCTTTTACTGTAGATTCTAGTGATTTTGTTCTAGTTTGATAGAAAGGTTATTTCTAGAAGTTCAACATCTCTCAGATCTCTATTTTTAACATTTTTTTCTTAAAAATAAATTTAAAATTAAAAAAAAAAATACGTAGTATAGAATTAACTGTTTTAAAGTGTACAGTTCATTGCCATTTACTATGTTCACAATGTTGTGGAGCCTAGTTGCAGAACATTTTCATCACTCTAAAATAAAACCCCATACTCACTAAGCTATCGCTACATATCATTCTTCTCTTCTCACCTTTCCACATCAGACAACCAATATGCTTTCTAATTTTCTTATTCTGGACATTTCATATAAATGTAATCATACGCTATGTGACCTTTTGTATCTGGCTTTTTTTCACTTGACATTAATGCTCTCAAGGTTCATATATGTGGTAACATATATATTACTTTAGTCCTTTTTATGGCTGAATAATATTCTATTGTGTGAATATAGAACTTTTTAAAATCTGTCAGTCTTAGTTGATTAATATTTGGGTTGTTTCCACCTTTTGGCTACTATGAATAGTGCTACCTTAAACATTTGTATGCAGGTCATTTGTTTGAATACTTGGTTTCCGTTCTTTTGCATGTATATATAGGAGTAGAACTGTGTGATCATATAGTAATTCTACATTTAACTTTTGGAGGAACTATCAGATTCCTTTCACAGAAGCTGAATCATTTCACATTTCTACCAATAGTATACTAGAGTTCCAGTTTTTATGTATCCTGGCCAATATGTATTATTGCCTTTTTGGTTGTCGGTTTTTCTAGTGAGTATGAAGGGATATTTCACTGTGGTTCTGATTTGCATTCCTTAATAATTAATGATGTTGTATTTTTTTCATGTATATCTTCTTTGGAGGAATGTCAATGTCTGTTCAAGCCTTTTTCCCATTTTTGGTGTTGAGTTTTAAGAGTTGTTTGTTTGTTTTTAAGTTTTTATTGGTTTTGTTTGACCAGGGCCTCTCCACCACCAAGTAGCATCCCCGGTCCCTTTTTATTTATTTTAAGACAGGGTCTCGATAAGTCCCCAGCCTGGCTTTTAATTGCAATCTTTCTGCCTCAGTCTACCAAGTAGCTGGGATTATAGATGTGCACCACACTCAGCCTGTAAGAGTTGGCTTTTTGTTGGTTTTTGGTACCGAGGACTAAACTCAGGGGCACTCGACCACTGAGCCACATCCCCGGCCTTTTTTTTCGTATTTTATTTAGAGATAGAGTCTCACTGAATTGCTTAATGCCTTGCTTTTTGCTGAGGCTGGCTTTGAGCTCTTGATCCTTCTGCCTCAGCCCCTCAAGCTGCTGGGATTACAGGCCTGCACCCATGCGCCCAGCTGTTTTGGTTTTCTTTTTTGTTTGTTTGTTTGTTTAGTACCAACGGTTTAACACAGGGGAACTTTATACAGAGCCACATCCTTGCTCTTTTTTTATTTTTTATTTTGAGATAGGGTCTCATTAAGTTGCTGAGGTTGGCCTCTTAATCTCCTGAATTTGCTGGGATTATTGGCCTATGCCACCATGCCCAGTTTTGTTAGAGTTCTTTATACATTCTTGATATTAGTCCCTTATCTAATACATGATTTCCAAATAAATATTTTGTTCTGTTCCATGGGTTGCTTGCTTGCCTTCCCCCTGTTTTCTTCTTCCCTCCTTCATTTTCCAGTCTCGAACATGCCAGGCAAGCTTTCTACCACTAAACTCTATCAAGTCTTTAGTTTTTTTTTTTTTTTAATAGTGTCATTTGAAGCGTATGTTTTTTTTTTATTTTGATGAAGTATAATTGTTTGATTTTTGTTCTTATGTCCTTTCTGCAACCATATCCATCAACATGAAGATTTAATTAAGTTAGATTTCCCCTGCATTTTCTTCTAGAGTTTTATGGGTTCAGCTCTTATAATACTTAGGTTTTTTGTTTTAGATTAATTTTTGTGTATGGTGTTGGGTGAGAGTTAAACTTCATTCTTTTGCATGAGGATATCTACTACTCGTGTATTGAAGAAACCACTCTTTTCCCTCTTGAATGTTCTTGGTATCCTTGGTAAAAATTGGTTAACCAGAGATGTGCATGTTTATTTGTGGGCTCTCTATTCTGTTTATCTATATGAAAATTGTTTCAGTTGCTTGAATCCCTTATTCCTTATCTATATTTTTTTACTATGAAAATTTTAAAGCAAAACCAGAAATGCAATCGTGTAATATACCTCCATGTGCCAAACTTCAGTAGTTATTAATATTTTGCCCATCATATCTTGTTTTACCTACTATCCCTATTTTGGGAGTATTTCAAGAAATTCCCTGACATTGTGTCATTTCACTTGCAAACTCTTGTGGCCTTTTTTTGTTTGTTTTTGTGTTTTTTTGTGGTGCAGTACTGGGGTTTGAATCCAGGGCTTCTCACATGCTAAGCATATGCTCTACCACTAAGCTACATCCTAGGGCCCCGCGCGCACCCACCCTCCTTTTTTTTCCGTTTTGGACCAGGTTACACTAAGTTGTACTGGCTGGCCTTGAACTTTTAATCCTCTTCCCCTAGCCTCTGAGTAGCTGGGATTATGTATGTGCCACCATTCCAGCTATATCACATCTTTTACAAGTCAGGATTGACTGGTGGGTTCCAGGGTTGTCAAGCTGATTCATGCATAAAAATTCCCTAATCTGACTTTTATATAATGGCTTTAGAATTCATTGTGATTATTATTGAGGTTTACTTCATTTGGGATTAAAAATAGTGATTTACTAATTCTGTGATTTCTTCTGCATTTATTAGCTAGAATTCTCCTATTAAAAAAAAAAAAAAACTATTCAGTTACCTTGAAATAAAGTCTGTGTGGGAAAAGCAAGATAATTGCTTGAATTTTTTTCATTGTACATAAAGTTTTTCATTAATCAATGAATTGATTCTCCTTCACCTTCCAAATAGTATAGTGTTTTGTTCTTATTTTTGAGTTTTGATATATCATTTGAACTTTTGACTTATTATATTTGATGTTTTCTTTTGGATGTAGGGTGATGAAGCCTTATCATTGTTGTCCAGGCTGGCCTCAAACTCCTGGGCCCAAATGATCCCACTAACTCAGCCTCTCAAGAGCTGGGTCTACAGACATATGCCATTGTGCCTGGTTCTGTCTTTCTCACTGATGCTAAAATTCCTTCATTTTTGTGCCAGAAAGAGCTACCTCAGTGTGACTTACAATAGTGTTTTGTTGTTTGTTCTGTTTTTCAGTGCTCTGGGACTCAATCAAAACCAAGGCGTTGTGTGTGCTAGGCAACCACTTTACCACTGAACCATATCCCAGCCCAGTTCCTATGTCCTTTGGACATGGTGTCCTTAGTCTTAGATAGCTATATTATTTTTTGTAATATTTCCCAGGTTTGTCATATACAGTATTTCCCAGTCCTGAATGTGCTATTTTCCCCAAGAGCCATGTTTTCTTCAGCTAGAAAATGGTATTTAGGGACCGCAGTCTAGCTTTTAGGGGTACTTAATGCTCCTGGGTTGAATCAATTTTAGGCTTTCTACTGGACAATGCTAAGAAATAGTTTAGGGGGTAAGAAATCATAAATGCCAACAAAATTTTATTTTAAAATTATGATGAGAAAGCTTTTGCTTTTGTTAAGCTTTATTTTCTTTAATTTAAAAACACGAGTTTTAATCTTTGAGGGAGCAGGAAAATATTTAGCCCAAAATTAATATTTGTATAAAAAGGAATGAAGTATTGATGCATGCTACAATGGGAACATACATCTAAAACTTGCTCGATGAAAGAAACGAAAAAGGTCACATTATATGTAATGATTTCACTTATATGAAATGTCCAGACTAGGTAAATACAAAGACAGAAAGCAGATTGGTGTTTGCTAGATGTTGGGGGTAATGGGGAATGAATGTTTTGAACTAGATGGAGGGTACAGTTGCATAACACTGTGAATGTATAAATGCCACTGAATAGTACACTTTAAGATGTTTGATTTTAAGTTATATGAATTTCACCTTTAAAAAATTGTCTGGTATCAAAAAGTTAATAAGTACCTATTGATAATATATTCAAAAGAGGGAATTTAAATTTTTGACACACCAAGATTTACTTTGCTAAGTCCTACTCTCTTTCTTCTTACCTCACTCCAACCAGTAGAAACCTACTGGAAACTTTTTTAAATACTACATTCTCAGAAAGTGTATTTTTTTAAATATTTATTTTTTAATTATAGGTGGACATAATATCTTTATTTTATTTTTATGTGGTGCTAAAGATCGAACACAGTGCTTCACGCATGCTAGGCAAGTGCTTTACCTCTGAGCCACGACCCCAGCCCTCAGAAAGTGCATTTTGAGATTTAAATGCTTTTTATATTCAATATACATGATAGTGCAAAATCATTAAAAATCTTGTCCCTATCAGTAAAGGCTAAATGATGTGACTTTCATGTGGCTAAAAATTCTGTAAGGAATGGGACTTGAAAGGTATCTCAATTGGTGGAGTGCTTACCTTCCATGCACAAAAGTGTTCAGCCCCCAGCACTACCAAAAATTTTTTTGAGGAATGACTGAAAACTCATAATGAATTATTAGTAAATACTCACAAAGAAAATGATTAGTAAATACAGAGAAGTGTCTTACGAGGAAATCCCATTACATGATCATATTTTAAAAAAAACTAAAAGAGGAAACAATTTTCTTGCCTGAAGATTTTTTTAGAATATATATTTCTCAGGCTAGGGTGTAGCTCAGTGGTAGAGCATGTGCTTAGCATGCACAAGGCTAAAAAGCATCTATCTTATGATTTTATTCTTTATATGGTCACTCTCATTACCAAAAGAGCCAAATTAGAAAATCTGTGATTTGCCCTGACTTTATTTTTACATGGCAATTCAATACTGCATAGGACTCCTGATGACCTGTAAAGACTTGACTCCTGATTTAGCTTTTTCTTTCTTTTTTCCCCTTCAGTAATTAGACCACCAAGATTTTAGGAAAAGCTATTTTAAGTCTCTAACCCATGAGGACAGAATTAGAATCTTAAAATTCAGTCTTATGAATCTCAAAACTCTATCTTTAATAGATTTTTGTTGTTTATATTCAAATCAGAGTTAAATAATTTGATGGCAGTTAGGATTTTTTATTATTATTATTCTTTTAATAATTATTAGCTTGCTAGGACTGCCACAACAAAGTACCACAGACTAGATGGCTTAAACAACAGAACTTAATTCTCTGACAATTCTGGAGTATAGAAGTTGAAATTAAATTCTCAGCAGGCAGGGTTGAATTCTCCTAAGACTTCTTTCTTTGCCTTGTTAGATGGTCATCTCCCTATGTCTTTATATGGTCTTCTCTCAGTGTCTGTCTGTGTCCTTTATCTCTTGTGAGGATACCAATTATTGGTTTACCACCAATTTTAATTTAATCACCTCTTTAAAGACCCTATCTCCAAATATATTCACATTCTGAGGTACTAGGAGGTCTAAGACTCCAACATAGGAATTTGAGGGGGAACACTATTCACAGCCCATAACATACACAATCCTTTTGTTTTACAGGTCAGTTTGCCGAAAATGAAACTAATGAGGTCAATTTTAGAGAAATTCCATCTCATGTGCTATCAAAAGTATGCATGTATTTTACCTACAAGGTTCGCTACACTAACAGCTCTACCGAGATTCCCGAATTCCCAATTGCACCTGAAATCGCATTGGAACTACTGATGGCTGCGAACTTCCTAGATTGTTAAATAAAATAAATTATAATAAACTGTTAATTTTTTTTTCAGTATTTAATATTTGTAGTTCAGTTAGTAATTTTTTCATATATAGCATGTTGCCTGTATGCAATTGAACTACAAATTTAATTGCAAAGCAGATTTTCTTCTGTTCTTTTGCATAGCAATCAAAGTTAAAATTTGTTTCATACATCAACAAATTAAGGACATTTTCACAAACTAAGAAATAAACAATTATGCCAATTTGTAGGTGGTTTTGTTTATCCTTTGGATGTGACTTTTAAAATTAGAATGATGATACAATAAATGCTGAAATATAGGCATAAACGAACATGTTCTACAGGTAAATAATGGGGCTATGTATTTTTGTTTTTAGTGTTTTTTAAAAAAAAAAAACTTATTCTGATCTATAGCCACTGATAGCATTACTAGAGTTATGCAAATAATTACATAATAAACATGTTTATAACTTAGCCAAAAGTTGATTTTTGTAATTCAAAGAATGAGAGTTGAAATTTCTTATGTGTTTTTTGATAAACCGCAGTATTATTTAAGTGTATCTTGTGTTTTGTTTATTGCTACAATTTAAGAACTTTATTTAAAAACAATTTGGAAGATCACTAGGTACAACTAGTGACTGTTTGAACTGTAAGCCATGGTCAACAAGTTAAACTTCGACTTAGATCCTGTTCATTGTGCATTTGGGGCAATCCAAAGTACTGTACTTTCATTAACTTTCAAGCTTCCTTTGCAATTTTCATTCTTCATAGATCCCCATGAATATACTTCTTGTTTAAGTATGTTTTAAAATACTTACTATAAGTTTTATCTAGATCTTAAAGCGAGATTTTTTTGAACAATACCAGTCTTCCTCCATCAAATGTTATAAAGTATGAAAAATGTTGAGCAATGTAGTAAAAAAATCTTATAATACACTTAGATATAGTACATGAATAATTAAAGTATGTTCCTATAAATATGGTACCTTAATCAGTGGGTTTTATGAAGTCAGACTTATGAGGAAGCATTCAGCTTTTAAGCAAACAAAGAACATGAGAAACTGACAGCATTTTTGTATAGGCTTAGGAGAAGATTTACTGAAGTTGGAGGTAGTATTGTCTGTTTTAGTACAACAAAACTGATTTTGAGGCCTATAAACTTAAGTCTTCACCTTATTGTTAAGACTAGCTAAATATAGTCCAGTTTTGCTGAAAAACTGCAAAAAGCGTAAAATAATTTTTTCTCTTAGGAAACCTAAACATTGTACTTTACAATTTATTAAATGCAGTTAAAAAACATATTTTTAGTAATCTAAAACATACATACATACTTTAGAAGATATGTATCAAGTACAAGATCTTCTGGGGCTAGGGATATAGCTCAGTGATAGAGTGCTTTGAGGCACTAGGTTTGATCCCCAGCAAGGTGGGAGGCTGCTACTTAGTAGCCAATAATAGCAATCATAAACCTATATAATGGTTTCTAAAGGTGAGAGCTGGAAATAAAGTTTGACCAGTTTTTGTAGGTTACTTTGTGTTAGATCCAGAAGTAACCTGAAGTTTAGAACATTAAAATAAAACTGGAATGAAGACTAGACAAATCTGTGTATCTTGCAGCAAATGGTACTTGCATGTTAATAAAGACTGATTGACTAAAAGGTATGATAAACACTTGATGTTTGATCTTTTTAGCCTTGATGTCTCTTTTTTTTTTTTTTTTGTGAAAGATTCACAAGATTCTGCAATGAAACCTTAATAGTTTCCTGAAATAGTAATTAACTTCATATTATGTGCAGATCTCCCCAATGTTTTTTTTTTTTTGCACAAAAGATATTACTATAAAATGTTTTATTCAATTTTTATTTGATTTTTTTTTCTGTCTAGGTTATGCTTTTTGTTTTTCATGGAGTTATTATCAAGTTAATTTCCTTACTTTTGAAAGATGCATACATATAGAGACATAGAATTTATTATATGCAGTAAATTCAGTTCGTGCTAATAGAGAAACACATTGAGACATCTTGTTCTGCATAGGCCTGTCATCTCGGTGCAAGTCATTTGCTAAGCTTATTCATTTATTTAGAAAGTACAAATATTCTAAGCAATAATATAAATTTGCTATTAAAAATTGAAGTGTTTAACTCAAGTAATATCTAAATAGAACAAATTTCATACAAATTAACAAAGCTAGAAAGTATTTAGATATAACAGTTCTAAGTTGAGCTCTGATTCACTGTAAATTTGATTAAATAAGGTCTTATACTCAAGATGCCATTGGCTCTATTTTATATGTACATTTTGTGTTTTATTTGCAATATATAAATCTGGTTTAATATCAAACCAATCATTTTATATTCCTGTTAAACTTAATGGTTTGTGGTTTACTTAATGGTTTGTTGGTTTAAACAAATATTTAATAGTATACAACTATTTTGGTATATTAGAGCACCAACCTGGGAGTTAAAAAAGTCTAGATCCTGTGCTGATTAGTCACTTGAGTTTCAACAAGTCTTTAGGCCTCTGTTTCACATCTGTAAAATTAGGATGTTGTACATCTATAGAGTGATGTTTTACCACCTTATTTTTCTAATAAACAAGACTATTGTATAAAACCAAGACTATAACATTATAGATGCAGATTGGAAGAATTTTGAACTAGAGAGAAAAAATTGAGTTTTTGCTACTTCTAGATTATGGATAAAATATTACACATCAGTACTAAAACTAAGGGCTAAAGATGAGGCTCAGTGGAGGAAGGCTTTATTAGCATGTGTGAGATCTTAGATTCAATCCACAGAACAACTAGTAACAAAAGTACTGTAACTAGATTAATTTAGAATCTTTGTGGGGTTTTTTTCTAGCCTGCTATATGTTTAAAAAAAAAATCCAGTTTTAGCTCTGGTTATCAGTAATTTTCTAATATGAAGGAAAAGTATGTTCTGTGATTTTCATACCAGTATAATTAATGCCAAGATCAATCTGAATTCAATTTTCTTTTTCCTTTCATTGTTTATTTTTGCAGTGCTGAGGATTGAATAGGGCCTGGCACATGCTTGGCAATACTACTGAGCCACATCCCCAGCCCTCTTCCTTCCTTCCTTTCTTCCATTCATTCATTCATTCATTCATTTTAGTACTGGGAATTGAGCCCAGGGTACTGCTACCAGTGACCAACATCTACAGACCTTTTTTAAACTTTATTTTGAGATAGGTAACTTGTCATCCTCCTGCTTCAACCTCTCCATAGCTGGGATTACAGCCTGTGCCACCTTGCTTGCTTTAAGTATTCTATTTGCCTATGAACTACAAAAGAGAGAAAAATGTTTTTTCACTCATGTACTAATTTATCCTGAATTGGGTACATCATGTATGATATCTGTGTCTACTTCATATAAATCTTGCTGAGCCCATTAGACCTTCCCCTCCCCCTCCTCCCTCCCTCCCCCCTCTCCCCCCCTCTCTTTTTGAATGCCCAAGTCCTCACCCATGCTAGCACACAAACTCTACTACCAAGCTACACCCTCCAGCTCCCCCCAATTTTTTATTTTTGTATATTGTTCTCATACAGAACATGGGTAAATCAGACTTTTCCTCTCTTTCTAGTACTAGATACTTGGAATTGCTTTTATATTTAGAATTTTTTTTAAATATTTATTTTTTTAGTTCTCGGCAGACACAACATCTTTGTTTTTTTTGTATGTGGTGCTGAGGATCGAACCTGGGCCGCACGCATGCCAGGGGAGCGTGCTACCGCTTGAGCCACATCCCCAGCCCCTAGAATTTTTTTTTTAATCTTGCTGTGTTGCCCAGTCTGGCTTCTGACCCAGAATTCTCTCCTCAGCCTCCTAAGTAGCTGGGGTTACAGGTATGCATCATTTTTGTTGTTTGTGTTTTGTTTATTTTGAAATGGAATCTCAATATGTTGCCCAGGCTGGTCTTGAACTCCTGATTTCAGTTGATCTTCCTGCTTCAGCCTCCCCAGTGCTGGGATTATAGGTGTGCACCACCACACCAGGCTTTTCAGTTGTTATTAATGCAAAAATGTTTTATTACATTTGAACTCAATATATTTTATATACTAAGTCCTTTATGATAGGCCCTATTGCTTCATTATTTAGAAAAGCATATATAAAATGGCAGGTTAGGATAAGAAAATCAAATTGAATGACTCCTTGGTGCTGGAGATTGAACACAGGGCCTCACACATGCTAAGCAGCATTCTACCACTAAGCTACATCCCCATCCCTTGTGGTGTTTTTGTGTTTTATTTGAGACAGGGTCTCCCTTAATTGTTCAGCCTGACCCTGAACTGTTGATCCTCCTAGTAGCTGGGATTACAGTTGTGCACCATTGCACCCAGGTAAATTTGGTGACTTTTTAAAAATCAGAGTTGTCTAAAATTATTTTATCAGAGCCTTTACATTTTTTGGCATCATAAGGTAAAGCTTGTGGTTAATCCTGCCTATGCATGCCAGCTGGCCCAGATCTGTGATTAATTTTTTTTTTAAGTAGTAGGATTTTAATTCTAGGCATCTAAATTTTGATGTGTACTTATCAAATTTATATTTTTTAAGTCAGTGTATTGTCATTTCTGCTTTAGAAAACTCAAGTCTGTATCAATCTCCAGTATGATTTTGAATTGGAAAGTATAGTTTTTTAAGATCATCAAAGGCAACGTTTATCATTCCATAATTTCATTTGTTTTTGAAATGCAAGCTTCATTAGTTTATTGCCACCATCCAAATCAGCCAGTATTTTTTCTTCTGATTTTTGACTTAAAAAAAAAAAAACAAAGGATCTAAGAAAATATTTAATGATGATCCAAGATCACAAAATGATTTGCAGTAAGATTCTAGATTCAGATTATCATTTGAGTTAATTAGAACAAATATGGTGCTTAGATTCTAAAGAATTACACTCAGTAAAGTCTTGGAAGTATTGAAGAACGCAATATGCAAAATACTGAAATGATGTAATTGAGGTATAGGGAGTTGATACATGATGTATGCCTATAACATAAATGCTTTAAAAATTACATTTCTCTCCACATGAACATCATCCTTCATTTAGTAGGGCTGTTGAAAATGTTTCTGGAACTGCCCTGCTTTTAGGATTTATGATAAATATTCTTATAATACACGATTCCCCCTCTTTTATTTTTTTAATTTTTTGAGATACTGGGGATTAAACCCAGGACTAGGAAAATGCATACCACTAAACTACAACCCCCTTCCCATTCTTTTGAAAAGTATATAAAGGAATTAGAGTAGTTTTCTCATGTAGGCAGTAACCTGGTCATATCAGAACCAAATTTAAAGCTGTAAGCTTGACCTGGGAAATAAAAGGAGTTAACCAAATTTAATTATTTATTTTATTTTTTTGACATCATGGATTGAACCCAGGGGCACTTAACCACTGAGCTATATCCTCAGCCCTTTTTATATTTTATTTACAGACAAGGATTCACTGAGTGTTATTTAGGGCCTCGTTAACTTGCTGAGGCTGGCTTTGAACTCCAGAACCTCCTGCCTCAGCCTCCTGAGGGACTGGGATAGTGGGT